CACCACCACGACCGCCGCCGCCGCCGCCGCTGCCGTTGCTGCCGTTGCTGCCGTTGCTGCCGTTGCTGCTGCTGCTGCTGCTACTACTGCTACGATTGCGACCAATGTTACTACTGCTACTACTGCTCCTACTGCCACTACTGCTATTACTGCCAAACTGCTTCTACTGCTACTACTACGACTGCTATTGCTACTGCTACTACTGCGGCTACTACGACTGCTGCTGCTACTTGCTACTTCTGCTACCACTGCGTGTTGTCCTTACTAGAACTGTGAGTGCAGCGCCACATTGCCCTGCACCAGGGGGCCGGAAGCCGGCTGCGCAGGCCAACCCAGGAGGCAGCGAGCAGAGAGAAACTTTGAACCATGAAGTCCCAGTCTTCATACCGAGGGCCTGTGTTGAGGCTCCATGTTTTGTTGGAATCATGTAGGCCTCTCACAAGATAATTTTGGAGCCACTTCGTGTGCACAGGGCCTGCTTCACTTGAGATAGAGCCGAAGGAGGACACCAGCTGCTCGTCCAGTATTATGGAGGGTTGTTGCAGACCTCTGCTCTTGTAGATAAGGGCATGCAACAGGATGAGAAGGGTTGCAAGGTTTGCCATTTCATGCTTAAGGTGTTGTGCTAGAGGGTGCTGCGCACAACATCTTCTCCTAAGCTTATGCCCCGCTGTGGGCCCGCCCAGGGCATGGTCAGATCGTGGTGTAAATGGATTGAGAAGCTGAGGCCTGTACGACAATCTCATGAGTGTTTTTGAGGCGAAGGCCAGCCGTGGCTTTGCCTTGTTCTGCAGCCTGTCTTGGGATATTGCAGGAACATGTAACCTCATTACACGCGCGTGGATTCAATTTGGATCGGGTCTTGGGACGATCTCTTCCTAGTCTTGCGACCCAAAGTGCAAGCACGGAGGTGCAAGCGCAATACTTCCGAGAAAGCTGAGCACTACGTGCTGCTGTCCCTGAATGTGCTTCATTCCGTACAAGGCACCAGACTAGCAGAACGGATCCTCCTCTGTAGCCATTTTGTATCTGCTGCAGGTGCAGATGCAGTGAGAAGGCGCTGAGGCCCGACAAGATGCTCTCTACTTCAGCTTTCCGAAGGGCGGCTCAATGTTTGCTTGCCAAGCCACCTTCTGGCGCTTGAAATCTTGGACCAGAGTGGAAAAGCTCTCCGCAGGTGGATCTGGTTTCACAGGTTTCACCACAAGCCTCTTGCACGAGAACCCTACTCTGAAGGCAAGGGTTTGCCAAGAGCCGTGGCCGTGGCCGCATGTCCATGTTGCAGTCGGAAAGCCAAAGGCTGTCGAAGAGGCCGACTGCCATGAGAAAGGAGCTCGTCTTTTGCTGACCTGCTAGAGCTTGTTGAAGATAGCATCCCAGAGTCTGGGCAGACTGAGCCAGAAGAATCCTTAAAAAGTCCTACAGCCGCCGAGTATCCACAGATCTCCTGTCCGAGGTCCGTGAGCCTCAGAAGTCCATCCTTGACCTGTGGAATTGCACATGCGGCCAGTTTTTGAGATCTTGCGCAATGTGCAGGGTTCGAAGTGTTTACAATGTAGAGGGTCAAGGAAGCTTCAGAGTATCAACCCCACCACAAGAAAGCGAACTTCTACCTTTCCCGGAGTTTCTCAGAGCAGCCCTATACAATTTTCAAGGGGACTCCTTCATGACTTCCTCCCCATATGAGAGATAGTCTAAACTCTTAGTACCCTCCTTAAGCCCATTTAATACTCCTCCATACAATCCCCTGCAACCCCCTTTAAGGAGTTCAGACTGCAGCTCAACTCCCTGGATTTTCTAGGAGCCTCCCTTTTCGAGAGCCGAGCCAGGTCTGCGCGAGTACAAGAAGGACAACTGGCTACTCAGCCGGAGAAAATTTTTGGGGTCTGCAACAAACGGGGTTTCAGTAAATTAGGAATTCTTTTTTTCAGGAGTGTTTAGAATAAGCATACGATCATTTTGGAGTCCATACTGTGGGGACCACTTTTTTCGGAATCCCCACAGGGCTTTTGTTGGGCAATTTCCAAGGGCAGATAGTGGGGTTATATAATCCCTGTAAAAACTCAATGTAACCCCGACCCCTATATGTTCCCTAGTTTCCATTCTGTTTTTCATTTTCTGTTCTATTTGCTTCTCCATTATTGGGCTGGCAAGCCAAGGTGGCACACCACAGCCGGCATTTGGGGGATCTATGTTGTGCACCCAGTGCGTGACAGCTGGCTGAAGCACCACATGGCGGTAGACTTTTTATCAGTTTGAAAGTGGACTCTGAAAATGCTCCGAGCTTCGCAGCCCGGGAGAGGCGATCCATAAAAAGAACCTGATACCCCTCTCAGCCGTGGAACTTCTAGGTGGAGTGCGCCTTGGGAATGTTTTGGGCAGCTGACGTTCAGAGGGGTAGCAATGCCAGAAGTAGCTTATGACATCGGAGTGACTCCAGAAAGTCATGGGTATACAGTGAATCAAATGCCCCTTTAGAACTGTAATCGCTTGCCAAGGTGATCTTCAAGATTTTTGGTCCTTTTGGTGCCGGGACGTCTATGGTTCTATCGGTGCGCCGTTGAGACGCCAGGGCTAACCTGGGAGTTGCATTTCAGTTCAAGCAAGCTAGCCCTTTGTCTTGTCTGTTTGGAGGTTAGGATTGAATAGATCAGCGAGTTCGGGTATGCAGGATTCGGGCGCGGGCGTTTTTATGCTTTTTGTGAGAAAACATTAACATCCCAAGCTACTCGCGCTCCTGACTGCTGAGACGCCAAAAGCTTGGCTGAGGACATAGACAGATGGTTTTGCCAAGCCAACAGAACCCCATCAACATCTAATCAATCAAGGCTGTCAATGCCAACAAAAACATTCCTAAAGCACATTAGATTTCCCATGAGGTTGCTTGCAGCTTTCAAGCTGGCTATTTGCATGGAATTCTTGGCCAGGTACTTATAGGCGCACTCTATGACGAGTGGGCCGAGCCGAACACGCGTCAAGCTCGGCCTAGGATTTGAAGTGTGAAGTCCAGTTCAGACTGTTAGGCTGCATTTACGTCTTTGAGGTTCGGACGCTTTGTTCCAGCGTAGCCACTCTGCTCTGGCCCGTGATCCTGCTGCATCTGGCGTCCCCGTGCTCCTTCTAAGCCATGACTGTGAGCAGCAAGATGTCGGGCGCTGTGCTCACTGCGGGAGTGTGTGTGGCAAGCCAGGCATTCCTGGCTCCCGTGAGCCCTCAAGCTCCTGCCA